CTGGGCCCCCCAGTTGTATCAGGCTCGTGAGCCCACTACCTTTGAACTAATGGGGATGATAGGTGATCTCCAGAGGTCTGTGGCGGATCTCGCCTACGGAATGTCAGCTTCACCTCCAGCTGCACCATATGCCGGGAGTTTTGTACCCCAGGAACCCCCGCTGTTGGGGCGAATTGTGATCGAACTTAGCCAACCGGAGATGGCCTCCAGCTATGGTAATGATATATCAGCACCAACCCAGACCCTCGATCAGGCTGAGGCCAGAGGAAAAGACAAAGCAAAGGTAGACGCCGATCCCATCGAACAACTGCTGTGGGCAGTTAAGGCTTTGAAAGCCGGGGGGATGAACAAGCAACAGATATCCGCAGCTGTGGCAAAAACTGTGGAGGATGCTTTCCCCACTCCACCTGAGGGTAGTTCAAGTCAGTCAGAAAATCAGGATAGGTCCCGTCATGCCAGAACAGTTCCTCCTATTCCCGCCCCTGCACCCGGGAAAGATCAGAAAGCTAAGGTGGCGCCTGCCGACCCTTTCGCCTGTGCGGCTAGTAAGAGCGCTCAGACTCCGAAGTACCTACTCCGGGGGCGCAGGGCCTTTCATGCTCTCTACATGCCTCTGTCCAAGGCACTTCAGATCCTTGCCGAGAAGGGGCACCTTAAACCCTTGGAGCCTCGTCCTCTCCCAAAGAATCTCCCTGTCACGCATGATGCTGCCCAATACTGTGCGTACCACCAGCAGACAGGTCATCCAACCGACAATTGCTCCCGCCTCCGTCATGAGGTGCAAGATTTGATTGACAACGAGGTTATCCTCCCGCCGACCTCAGCCAAGTCCGTTACTACCCAGTTATTGGATTTTGAGGATACAGATACTGCGAGTATGTAATCAGAAAGTGAACCACCTGCGGACGGCATTCGGTATATTTTTGGATGTGGCGTCTGCCACGTATTTTGAGCATCGGTGAACACTAGCTTTGTAAATTCTGGCTTGGGTATCGAGTCAGTCTTTTGTTTTGAGTCTGTCTCTTTGTCTTGAGTCAGTCTTTTTGCTTAAGGGTCTGTCTTGTTGTATCGAGTCAGTCCCCTTTGTATAAAATACCAGGTGATTCCGAGGTTGTTGCCTCGAACACCGTTTTGTCTTGTAATTACCTGTTTTGTTTTTTTGAGTCTGTTTCTGCCGAGGGGCCAGTTATACCAACAAATATGAATGAAACAACTGTGGTTATCTCATTTTCACGCTTGCTTCCAGTATAAGTTAATTGTGCCAGAGGACTTGAATGGACTAACAGTACATCTTGCCTGCTCTCCTACGCGCCAAGCTCATTGCATTGACCTAAGTTTTTCAAAGCTGTTTTTGAACATTGTGATGAAAACGAAGAGGAAGGAATTCCTCGGGTTTTTGCAAAAATTTGATCATTTGAGAGAAAGAGAAGCATGCTAAGCCTTTAATGAATGAAACCATACTTGTCAGTGTGAGTACTGAGAAGGACCCTGGCTTGATCCAGATTGGTTCCACACCATCTTCGGCGCGAGCGATTTGTCGCTTTCTTAAAAACTTTCAAAAACAAATGTTTTACACGAGTCCTGCGAAGACCTGTGTGGAACCGCTCTTGAGGATTGTGTAGCCTAGGATCGCTCTCAGCTACCTTGAACCCGTTCAGAAAGTTCAACGGTCAAACGTCATGCAAGGTCTGTATGGCCAGATCAGAAGCAGCCCTCGAGCAAGAGGCACCAAAGCCGAATCAGAAGGACTAGATCTCACCAGAAGAAGCTCGTGGAGCAGCCATGACGGAGTCTCCTACAAATCATAGCAACAGCCGTTCTCCTAGATACAGAAAGGCTTCAACTCCAGAAACCATTTGACATGGACTTGTTACACTTTTACCCTTTGAGAGGCTCGCTGGGCTGAAAACCCGAAAGGGCGACCCAGGCAAAAGTTAGAGTAAGAGAAAAATACAAAAAAGCAAAAAAGAAGCAAAAAATACAAAGAAAAGAAAAGAAAAAAAAATGCGAAAAAAAAGAAAAGAAAAAGAAATGAACAAAAAAAAATGAAAAGAAGCTCGCAAGGTTGAAAACCCGCATCGGGCACCTTGGCAAAAGTTAGAGCCTGAAAAGTGAAGGTTAAAATACCCGAGTGTACCTTAACCGGAACTACGAAAGGCTTGATTCCCATGTTTGGGATACGTAGGCAACTTCATCATGAAGTCCAGCCCCCAACGCTTTCATAGTGTCTCAGTCCATGCAATGGTTCCGATTTCATCCCAAAGTCTAGTCGCCAACACTTTCCAAGGTGATTGTGTCCATATATCTGTTATAATCGTCTTCGTCATCTCTGTGTCCAAGAGTTCGACCACCACCAGTGAAGACTGTTTGCGGACTGCTGCGGCACCATCCAAACAAGGGGCAACTTTCCGTTGCCACGAGTCGTCGTGAGCCGCCATTCAAACCAGAGGCAACTTTCCTTTGCCACCCACCCCCTTTAAGCTAGGGGCAATTTTCCATTGCCTCTGATCTGAGGTTGCGCATCTCAAAGGGTAAGTTCCATGCTCGTTGAGCATCAGCCGTTTGCAAAAATAGTTTTTGAAAATTTTTACTGAGGTTGACTATTTTCTCGAAAACTATTTCGTTTTCCAAAATTGGACCATTTTCTTGGACCCAAAAAGGAAAATTTTCAGTGCTTTTACAGCCTGATTTGCATGGTTTACAAATCAAAAATCGGGTAAGTACGTTAATCCGACTCTCATCTTGATCGAAACTGTTTTAGTTGAAAACCAAAAAAAAAAAATGGTCAAAATGATGAACTACGGGCACAGTTGAGTCAGGTGTTCTGTCTTTCCCCCGTCGTCAACGTACTTGCCAGGAGGGCACTCTACCCACCAGAAGAAATAACTGTGAGCTAAAGGCATTGGGCATGAACCCACACCTTCCTATTCATTCATTAATCACCCTGGGGAGGGACGAAAAATGAGAGAATAAAGAATAGAGAGGTCTAAGTTGAGAGAAAAAGCGAGCCAGAGGGTTTTGAGAGAAAAACCGAGCTTGAGTGCCAGAGTGATGTGAGAATCACAGATGAGAAAATGGTGGGAAACAATACCCAGAGAAACTGGCTCCTCGTGATCTGAGGTCCCCTGTCTTCGTTGACGCGCCTGTGTGTCGTGTCTTTTGTTTTGTTTACCACAACCTTTGTTTTAGGTCTCTTCCGAGTGTGTCTCGTTGTGTTTAGGTCGTGTACCTCTTTGTTTGAGTCCTCCCCGCTGTGTTCAGTTGTAGGCTCGATACCCCGGTTTGAAAAACCCTTATTTAATTTCAAAAATCGTTTATGCTCAGAATGTTGTGCCATTCTCTATATTCGATTGTGTTTCAACTCCAGCTGGTTCCACCTCCGTGGTCCGTCTTGTCAGATTGGGCTGATTGTTCGGGATGTGCTATGCGCAGAATGAACCGAATGCTGTGTTATGGGCTGTATGCAGATTAATCCCCAACAGAGTAAGGGCTGTGTGTCCAGAATCAGGCAGTGGGTTGCTTGGGTTATTTTGCTGTTGGCTGTTTATTTATCTGATTATTCAAGTGTTCAATTTTCAGACAACCAATCAATTTCATCTACATTGAGGTGTAATATGGTGTGATGCGATGCAAAGTATGAAATGTAAAAATATACGAATGTAAACACTTTTTCAGATAAAAAGCCTGTTTCATTTCATCATCTTTTCAAATACACAAGTTTTAGAAAACAAAAACCTGCCTGCGGCAGTACAAAGCATCTAACTACCAAAAAGAGAAAAGTACAAGAAAAAATAATAATAATAAATACAAAAATCTGTATCCACGACGAGCACTCTGGGGGCCATCAGTCTGTCCTAGTCCTCTTCCTGGACGAAGGTCCAGGAGCATCATCAGCATCGTCAGCAGAGCCCGAGCTAGTGCCGCCTCCGGTCTCCTCTTCTGATGACTCCGCCTCCGACTCTGCCTCCGCCTCCGACTCCTCCTCATCGTCATCATCGGGGACTGGAGCTCGCGAGCTACTCCCGATATGAGTGCGCCCTACCTTGGTGCGGGAGAATGCTCTGCCCTCCTCATCTCTCCCTCGGGCGGGGACGGAAGGTCCAGCTGGAGCACCTCCTGCCATAGGAATCTGGAAAGGAGGCTGAAAAAGTACATAAAAGGGAAATGCATCAGAATGCTGTAGACAGTTTATCAGTGCAGAATGCAGTGTATGAGTACAGTGTGTGAATGTCGTGAGCAGTTTATCAGTGCAGAATGCAGTGTATGAGTACAGTGTGTGAATGTCGTGAGCAGTTTATCAGTGTAGAGTACAGTGTAGAATGCAGTGTATGCAGTGTATCAAATACTGTGAGATCAGTGTATCAGGTGTTGTGCCATGCATCAGATTACGTGAATCAGCTTGTGAGTGATTTGAGGCCGTGATCAGAAGAACATACCGGAATGCTGTAGAGGGCCAGGAGGTCAAAGGTCCGCTGAAGCATCCCCATCATAGAGGCATTCATCTCCAATGACTGCCGGGTATATTCAGAAGAAGCCTGCAAAAGTATCAGATACATCAATATTCTGTGGAATATCAAATAAGCTAAAATGAAATGACTGTACAAAAATGCAGTAATACATACCGGAGGCAAGTCGGGGACACCGACAAACTCATGATCAGCTGGCGAAGGGGCGAAGGGGATTTGATAGGTCGCCCCACCCTGCCCTTGGAAAGTCAGTACAGCGGGCAGGGCGGGCCAACCAGCCCCCCGTCCTCCCTGAACTCCGCCCCTGCCCCGGACTCGAGCCCTCCTCGAAGCTCCCGCTCCTGCCCCAACTGCTGGGGCCACGGGCCTGGCTCCCTCAGCTCGATGGCTGCAGCTCAGAGGTCGCATAAGGTACGTCTGCACGTACTCTCTGTAGTCGCCGATGCCTCTGAAGCGGGTCGCCTCCCAGCCGATAGTGTAATCGGCCATCTGCTCGGTGGTGAGCCTCTCAGTCTCCCTCATGTCCGCAGGAGGGTGAACCGGGACTATCTGCTCCGGTAACCCTAGGGTCTGGCGTAGAAAACGCTCACCCAGGTACCAAGCCCGACAGACCGGGCCCTCTAGCAAGATCCGAAAACGCGAGGTCTCCTCAGCACCAGCAAACCGGTCCCGTATCGCCGCCAGCAACGGAGCCCACGACTGCCAAGTGATCTGAAAGTGACATACAGTTTGTTATCTACTGTTTTGAAATATGCAGTGGAAAGGCGAAGCTTAAATAAACTGCAAGTAAAACATACCTCGGCAGGGGTAATGGTGTCGAAGTAGCGGCGAAAGAAGTTGAAAGTCTCTCGCGGCCTCCGGGTGCATCTCCCGTCAAAGCGACGCGAAAACGGGACAACCAGAGGAGTCTCCGTGACCGGTACGGGAGCAAGCCTAGGAAAGTAGGCATAAACCCACAACTGCAAGGTAAATACCAGTGCATTTATCAGATAAAGCAGAATATAGAGAAAAAGCAGAAAGAGCAGAGCCGTGTGTGGTGCAGTGTATTGTGCAGAGTGTGCAGTGTACAGTCAGTGTAAAGCAGAGTATGTGTGTGCCGTGTGTACAGTATACAGCAAGTATAAAGCAGACTACAGTGTGTGCAGTGTACAGAGTACAGAAAATATAGGGCAGAAATGAAAAGCGGAGAAGAAATGTACCTCCCAAGCCCGCCAGTAGCCCCCGAGCAGC